CATTCCTGACTCACGTCATATACTACTTATATCAATATAAGTAGCACACACCACATATTTATTGTCTATTAACAGTGTTTTTATTTTATACTTGACAAAAATACGTAACTTTTTCTAACCACCCCTTCCTGTCTCCCGTAAATTTTTTTCTCTTTTCACATAAAAAATTACAATAGATTACTTTATTAATCTTTTCCATATCACTCACTCACTCACCCTATCTCTTTTATTCTTTTTTTGTTTCTGGCCCTATATATATATATATAATCTCTTACTGGTTCATTCTGTTTATACATTCAAAAGGTGAATTATTATTATTATTATCATTATCAATATTATCTCAATATAACTTGAGTAAAATTCATTTAGGATTGTCCCTACTCCACCACCACCTCCTCCTCATCATCATCATCACCATCTTGTGATCTCTTTCTATAGTATATTAGTTGTTAATGCAAACACAGAAAGGATTTACGTCAGTGATAATAATAATCATAATCATAGTAACTATTATAATTTTGAAAATAAGCTTTAGAATAATATGGAATTATGTTACTATCTCTCAATCATAATAATAGTTATATATATACAAAGAGAGAGAGAGAGAGAGAGAGAGAGAGAGAGAGTGAGTATGTAGGCGTTTATCCGATTCATCCAATACTACTTCAATAAAATTCTACGTAGGTGTAATATAATGATTAGTTTTTCTCATAGAAAATTATTCTTTATTAATGTATTATTCTTATGTTAATTTTTGTGCTTAATGTTTTATCAGAAAGACAAAGTACCTATATTTATAGTAAGAATATGTTTATTAGATAAAAAGAAAACAATAACTATGTTTAGATTCATGGGATCTGTTGTAATGGTATTCAATGTTCGATGATTTAAACGGGTTGGTGGATATGCAAAGGGTGTGTACGTTGAAAGCTCCAATGTGTAGTTTGGAGTGAAGTTTCAGTAGAACTGGGACAGTGTTTTGCGCACTAGAATCGTTGGCTATGGTGACACTTGAGGAGGAACCCGAAAGAGGAAGTCTAGTGTTGAAAGTCGATGTGGGAGGAATAATAGGAATTGAAGACGGAGGTTGATTATGAATATAGTGGTCTTGAGTGCTGTTAGAGGTATGACAGCGGTTATCATTTCCCGGTTTCCCACACCGTGAAAGGGTTCTTCTGGAGGTACCTGAAAAGAAAATTGGATTAGAGGTGGTTTTAGTGACCTGAGAGCGTGATCGCAGTGCCCAATGGACAACTGCTTGAGCTCGGTCACACACGACCTTTATGCGAGTAATTTTCGTGTTAGCTCTGTACCTGTTGAGACCTTACCGCCGAGGACGGATATCCATAGGATAAGGCGGGATGTGCATTTTTGGGTCAACCTTTTCTAACCCCATCCCTCCTTGTGGGAAGGCAGCATCGCTGTTATGCTTGTTGTCCGAAGGAAACACCTTACTACCGTCACACCTGTGTACAGTCAGCAGTACGACTTCGCCTTCGGACCTTGGGTTTGTTGCTTTTAGTCTTACCGTTATTCAACCGACCTGTCTGACATGTTAGGACCTTGAGGGACGGCTGTTCTAGGCAGTATAGCTCGGTTGCTTCATCGCGATAGACAAGCCCGACCACCACGTCAAGGTAGCAACAACGGTCGGGGATATGGAAAACCATGATTCCAAATCAGTGGTGCACATGGTCTCCATGATTCTGAAGGAAAAACAGGCATATGAACGAATTGTTGGTCATTGGCTACCATGGGACTGCATCTCTTAACGTTACTCTATTGCCTTGTAGATCAGATCTTTAGGTCGAATAGATCCTGGTGTGCCTTCCACCTGCTTCGGTTTGGGCACCCGGGCATTATCACAGCCCACACACGAATAAAATGATTTGTGTGGCGCATAACTATTTGCTGACTCCTTGTATCAATTTTTGTGTGTCTAAATAAATAAAATGTCAAACACATCGACTTTTCTTTGTTTATCTCTTTTCAACTTTTCTTTAACAAATATCTTTGTTATCTTTTTTTCTTGATGTGAATGAATTTAGTTTGTATTATTCTGGAGCAGGTACTTGTTTAACTAGAAATAAATCCTACGTAATGATGCATTTCTAGTCTCTATACGTATATCCTACACTTTTATACAATACAAGCACTCAGGATAGCACTAAATTATTAAAAATCATTACATTTTCAATCATAAATTGTAATTTACTTAGATACTGTTGATAGTTTGCATAACTTATAGGTTTATCAGTCCATGTAAGTTTTTTTTATAAATAAATTCACGTAATCTGAACAATCCATCTATCAGTGTATCCCGCTACTTCAGTGTTTATAAAAGGGGAAAGTTGTTTTATGTACGAGTGTTTTATGATGACCACTTGTATGAGAGATTAAAATTTACAATCCAGTGTGATTTTGATGTAAGTTTTCTAATATAGACACTATTGTATACGTTTCTCTGCTGATGTGTATACCATTCATTATTGTAGTTCATTACCCACTGCTTAAAGCATTTAAGTGTTATCTTTCAGGCTGTAACACCTATTTACAGTTAGTATTTGGTGTCAGTATGAACTGTTATTTGGTGTTCATGACATGTATAATCTTATACCACAAAATTCTATACACAAGTACTTGGATAAAGATCCTCAATACGAACAGAAGCGGTGAGACTATAATTTATTGACGACCTTTAAGCGATACAAAAGTAACCTTGAGAAACTCCGCTTCTTAGGCTCAAAATAGGTTTATGAATCAGTCTGAGAAATTAGAACTAGGACCTAGGACTAGAAGTTAAAGTCAGTAACTACATTTACTATTTTCATCACAAGTTGACATCAGCTATATAATCCAAGAGTTCTGTTTAGCCACATGGGTGAATGAATTTTGCGTCAAAAGTCAAGATACTTCATTAACGATTAGTACTCTGTCTTTTGTCGATATATTCAGACTTTTTATTCGAACTGCGAGTAATGGTCCTAATCTATGTCTGTAGATCTTGAGTAACATAGTCAGGGTTTGATAGTGGTAATAGAGCATATGAATTTATTCCATGCCTCCCCATAAATCTTGAGTCCACACTTTATAACTCAATCTCATTCATCCCTTTTGAACTATATCACGTATGTTTAGTTTCCACTAGGGTAGGGAGCAATATCTCTCATTCTCTGCTCTTCATCTTTTTAATTGCCACTGTCTTTCGTGTTAATATGCATTGCTGTACCATTGACCCATACAGATTTGTCCCGAATTCTACGTAGATAGTGGATGATTACTTACTTACGCCTGTTACTCCTAGTGGAGCATAGGTCGCCAACCAGGATTCTCCGACGCAATCTGTCCTGGGCCTTCTTTTCTAGTTCTATCCAATTGTTGTTCATTCTTCTCATATCTGTCTCCATTTTGTCGGCGTAATGTATTCTTTGGTCTTCCCTTTCTCCTTTGGCCTTAAGGATTCCATATGAGGGCTTGCCTTGTGACGCAGTTGGGTGCTTTCCTCAATGTGAGTCCTATCTACTTCCAGTGCTTCTTCCTCCACTGGGATCTTGTTTGTTCTCTCCTACAGTAGATTGTTGCTGATAGTGTCTGGTCAACGGGTCCGAAGTATTTTGCGTAAGCAATTTTTAATAAACACTTGTATCTTCTGGAATATTGTGTGGTCCCGCTGCTTTGCCGCTTTTGATTTGTCTGGTGGCCATGCTGATCTCTTCAATTATTGGTGAGCCAACATCGATTGTTAGGTCTGTGGGTGATACTTTGGTGTTGGGTTGATTCAGTGGAGCTATTCGATTCAAAAGTTCCTTAAAGTGCTGCACATATCTGTTTCGCTGTTCCTCAGTGTTAGTGATTACTTTCCTTTCCTTGCCTTTCACTAATCGTTCTAGTTTGCGGTAATTTCCAACGAGCTTCTTTGTTGTATCATACAATTGTCTCAGATAATGGAAGATTGAATAATTAGAAATATTCAATGTAACATGTCATTTAATATATGATTTTGAGGGTAATTAAATTATAGGGAAATCATAAATAACCTGAAGTTATTTATTTTGAACATGTTGAATGACAATGTACTGATATTCCTCCCCTTGTATACTTTTGTCCATAGCAACATAAATAAGTGTTACGTGTGACATCTACTTACATTCATATATAAACTTCATTATATTTTTAGCTTGAAATACCTTGTAATATCTATTTACAACTGAACAGATAGATAATTATTCCTTCAAATGTCATATATTCATGCATATACTGTATTTGTTTATTATGTTTATCTGTTTTAGTCAATCAATGTGTGTGTGTGTATTTTTGTGCTTATGTAAAGACAAAGTAGTTTGCAGCACACATAACGCTTATTTTTTCATACATCAATGAACTTTAAGATAGAAACGTATACAATAGGGTTTTTTCTCTAATTTCCTTTTAGTCCCTTTTTATTTTCAATGGTTGAGATCATGAGTCAATTGAACTTAGACCACTATGGAAAACCTGGAAGCATTGGATGGCTATTTCGTCCTATTGTTGGACTCCTCAGTAGTGTGCATCCACGATCCGGTCTAAGCGAGATTTGAACCCAGAACCTATTAGTCTCGTGTGAGGGTGCTTATTCTGTTTACTGTGCTGTACAATGTTAAATGGATTGGATTTTGTTTATAGTTACAATTTATTTAAGAATAATTTAAGGTTGTGCAATTGAAGAAGCTTATTGATACATTCGTTTTTATCTCATTTATAACTTGATGTTTTTGTTACTGTTCGATTTGATACATTGTTGATGAGACTTTCTTTTCTTTTCGGTAAATGTCAATTTGCTTACTTTTTAAATTGAGAAAAATAGCAAGGACGCTTACAATGTTACTTTTAAATAGAATTTCAGTAGTATATTGTTATGTTCAATAACATTTACATTTGACATTCTTTGTATATTATACTCTAAACATTTCGTTTGATATATTGTTTTCTCTAAACTTTATTTAATCATATTATCTAAATAGAGAAACAAATTCATTATGGCAACCTGTTACATCACTTGCATCTATGCATAATTTAATACAGTCATGGCGTCATATATTAATTGATGGTGGATGTGAGAAATTACTCCAATCCGGTGTTTATGGTGTTCATCAGGTATGTAGAATTGTCATTCTTTTTTGGGGGGGATTTTCATTCTGTGCCCATTTCATATGAAGCTAGAATAAGTTTTGAAAATGATAGTTTTGGTCTCATTGATTTGAACAATTAACCCATTCTAAACGATGAGTGTAACACGGTTTATCGTTATCTCCCATTATACTTGACATTAATAAAGAAAGAAGATGAATACATGTACTTACAATCATCAAAGTTTTGCAATATCTGCGTCTTATTACCAGTTCGTTATAATACAGTTAAGTGTGTAAGATGTATGATTCGAGTTTCACAATAGTTTTTTAAAGCCTGCACTCTGTTCAGCGAACCTCAAAACTGTAGTATACTTACAACTATCATATTTTCATAATAGTATTCGACCATATTTATGTACATTGATCAAACAGTGTTGGAGCAGTGTCTCTCTTTATCTGAAAGCCTAATCTCCCTGATACATCACAAAACAGAAAGTCATCCTTCAAACATCTGTCATATTACAGTAGTATTAGAAAGCTTAGACATCCACATCATGCAATGTACAATTTTAAGCTGGTGTTTTTTTATTCCTTTTTTGAAATGGGACTTGAGATTAACTGATTATGTAACTGAATAAGTATCTTTCTATCATCCAATGACAGTCACTATAGTTTAACTATATCTTTCGTATAAATAAAGGTAGCTACTGTTACTGATTTAGTACCTCTCAGTAGTAGAGTATTGTTCTCGATTATTCACTCATTTTTGTTACTCCCTCTTGATGACTGTTTCGATTTCGTATCCTTCTTTAACCTAACTGAATTTAGTTGTGAATATAGAAATGGAATATGTTTATATTCTACATTCGCTTGATGTTGTTTTACTTGTATCTTCCCATGGTTATTTAGGACTGCAATTGATCAGTTTTATGTTGGCCTATGTGCATCCTGTGCGGATTGCCTCAATATAGCCTTAATAGTCACAAGCTTTTTAAACAAAGATGAATAGTGGCTAGCAGTGGAATCCAGTTTGAAGCGTGTTTCGTCCTATTTGGGACTCGTCAGCTGGATGTGCCTGCATCTTAGGGTTGATATTCACTCCGAGATTCAAACCCAGTACCGTTCGCTTCAAACGCCACTATTTTATTCACTATGAATCCTATCAAAGATAACTGTAAAACGAATTAAGCAAAGCATTTTATATTCTAAATTCTATATGTTATTTATTTATTCTTTTAGGCTGTACTTCGTAGTATCGGTTCGTTCTATGTAGGCTATGATCATATATCATTTGATTATCCAACAGATTCATTGTATCGTGATATTCTATTCCGTCGAATTCATTTAAATAAACCAGGTGTTTATGCAAATTTTGAAATACGTCTATTATCTCGTGAAGGTAGTATTAGTTCACCACATTTAATGGCTGTTGAATTATCTGTATGGCGTTCTCCAAGTCTTACAACATTATTATCTTCATCATTATCTAATAATGTATATGAAAATAGTAATTCCATTCTTCAAGCTATAAATTTCTTTATTAAATTAGAGAATGATGCATTAAATAGTTCACTTTATGTTTGTCCAGCTGCTTGTTATTCAACACCAGTTCTAGTCAAGTAAGTGTCTTAAATATTTTTCACTTTAGGATATATTGTAATGGAGATTTCTTTTGTATGATGATATATGTATTACATACTTACTTACTTACGCCTGTTACTCCTCGTGAAGGAGCACAGGCCACTCACCAGCATTCTCCATCCAACCCTATCCTGGGCAATCCTTTCCAGTTCCTATAGATCCTTTTCATATCTGCTTGTATGTCTCGATGTAATGTGTTCTTTGGCCTTGCTCTTTTACGCTTCCCTTCAGGATTCCAAGTTAGGGCTTGCCTCGTGATATATATGTATGCATATGATTCAATGTGACTTTTAGAATTATTCGGAGAAATCAGTAGTTATGCAATAAATAGCTATCTGTAGTCGGGGATTAAATGCATCTTTATAACTATTATCGATTTCTAGCCAGAAATAATGAATCATTACAGCATGACACAGGCAATAGACACCATTTTCAGTAAAAAAATCTTTTTGGTATTTCAACTTAGTTATCTTAAGGGTTTATTCATCTTACTACCAACCCACTTATAATATTCAATAGTCGGAATATAAATAAAAGGATAATTATCAGTATAGGGTTATAGAGATTACTACGTTTTAGATTGATATCATAAACTGATTGATGTTAGACCACCATTGAAAATCTGAAAGCACCGAATGACCGTTTCGTCCCGGTATGGGACTCTTCATTAATGGCCACCAATAATACTACAAGAGGGATTCAAACCCAGAACCTTCAGTCTAACATTAATCGATTCATGATCACAATCCAAGATTTAACAATCTCCACAACCCCATCTACCCATTAGTGAATAGGTTTTTAAGTGAATTCTCGAAGTTCAATGAAGGTCTAATAACAATCGATTCATGATCTCAATTAAACAAAAAGGATAATTGTTATGCTCTAAGGAGTAAAACCTCCGGTTATTTTCGAATTATTAGGTGAATGAATTTCTTGCTAATATCTGATTGGTTCATCCATAAATTATAGTCTTTCTGAAAAAAACTCCCATCATCTATCATATTACATAATGTTCACTGATTCGTAATGTTTTCTTCGCCTCTATACATTGATATTTGTCAATAAGACTCTTTTATTATTATTATTATCTATGCTAGTTATTTTTCATCTACTCTCTTTATTAATCTAATCGGCCAATCACAATCAAGGTTATAGATAAAGATCATGTGATCAAAGGTCGTCTTTGGTCATACATTTAAAAAATATATATATTTTTTGTCTACCCCCTCACAAACGATCGATAAAAATAGATTTTATCCCAGAAAATTAAAGAAATTAGAATGTGATTTTAAAAATAACTGACTAGCATAGATTATTAATCTTCTATAATAAAATAATAAAGTGTATTTTAATTTGGTTTATCTTAAATAAATAATCGATTGTTTGTTACCTTAGCAACAATCCTTACCTAAACAACTATTGGCGATTTATGTAATTACTTTTGTAACTTCAATCATTGAAATCATGAGTCAATTAAAGCTAGACCACCATGGAAAACCTGGAAGCATTGAACATCCGTTTCATCCTATTGTGGGATTCCTCAGCAATCGGCATCGACGAATCCGGCCCCCCGCGAGATTCGAACCCCAGAACCTATCAGTCTCGCGTGCAAGCGCTTAACCACTAGATCGCTGAGATGGCCGACATCCAACGGTGTTAATGTCTAACTTCAACTAATCCACGAAATTACGCCACCGTCCACCATTGACTCATGATTTCAATTATTGAAATTACTAAAATCTCCTTAAAACCCCTCCTGACAACTACTTTTGTATTATAAAGTAATTTACACTACTTAAGTTGTTTTCAATGTAAAGAATTCTTGTAATGAATAGATCATTACTATATCACATAGCTGTATCTTCATCTATTAGTATATATTCTGTCATTATTTTGATTTATTAAGCAATCAAGAATATCGTTTTTGTGCTATGAGTTCTAATAAACTGAAAATAAGTTTTATTTTACAATCAACTTGGAACTGTCACGACAAATAGTACTCCCAGAATCTTGGCACCTATGAAACTCTGCTAATAAAAGTAGAATAAGTGTTTATATCACAAGTGAATGATTATATATATATATATATATATATATATATATATATATATACTTTTTTTGGAGAGTTATTTATGTATGGCGACACCACCAGTTGAGTAAGTTTAGGTGTAGAACACTAGTTGATTGTTTATAAGATTGTGAACGTATAACTAATTATATTGGGGAGCAGACAACATTTGAATTCTAACTGAAAATATAAATCCGTAGAATGGAGAACATATTTTCACGGCTATATAGAAATTGTCTAGATGAATACTGTATTTCAATAGATATGGATATTCGCATAAATATCATCCATAGTGGTTTAGCTTCAATTGACTCATGATCTTAACTATTAAAATTACTATAATATCCACAAAACCCCTTCTGACGGTCTCCAAGAGGTATATCCTGTAGTTCTTGTGAAAACCAGTGACCAGTGGAGTCCAACTGGGTCTGTTGTGAGACAGTAACTCACTGATCACAATGGTAGATATGTTGCTCAGTTTCATCGATTGGTTGAATTTAGACATTAACACGTTTGGATACCGGCCATCTCAGTGGTCTAGAGGTTAAGCGGTTGCGCGCGAAACTGATAGGTCCTGGGTTCGAATCCCGCGAGGTAGGATCGTGGATGCGCACTGCTAAGGAGTCCCACAGTAGGACGAAATGGCCGTCTGGTGCTTCCAGGTTTTCCATGGGAGTCTAGCTTCAATTGACTCACGATCTCAACTATAGAGATTACTAAAATATCCACGAAACCCCTTCTGATATATATTTTTTGTGTTGTGAGTTTTAATAATCTGAAAATAAGTTTTATTTCACTATGTCATCGGTTACTAACCATATAATATATAAGGTTCAAAAATAGGATATCGCTGCTTATTATATAAAAATCCATAGATTATGAATTATGCATTGGAATATAACTTATTTGTACTCTTCCTGCTTGTATGTCATGAGATTGTTCACGTTAGAACTACCTCATGAATTCACGAAGTAAACTCTCAGCATAGTGATTAGATACACAGGTTACACTTTTTTCCTTGTCTAGTTAAATATATAAATGTTTCTTTCTGTTAAGAGTAGTAAAATGAACAAAATATCTTTTTCACTAATTAATAAACTGTGTGCTGTGTAGACTAAAGGTAACTGCTGTCGACCATGCAGGAATTTCTCGTATAACGAAAGAAATATACTTGTATGGATCTTGATTGTGTATCAATTGATTGACTTAATATGATTTTTGTTACTGAGGGATAACTACTCCTAAAAATTGATTTTTTTTAATACAATGTCAGGAATAGCAGATGCTAAAAAACAACCAATTGTTCACTAGCAGAAATGAGTCCTCTTATTTAACAAAACGGCTTAACCGTGTAAATAAACTTTTTTATTCATATCATGAACCAGTTGATGTCAGACCACTATTGAAAACCTGGAAGCACTGGACGGCCGTCTCGTCCTGTTGTGGGACTCCTCAGCAGTGCGCACACCCGATCCCGCTCGCGGGATTCGATCGGTTCATGATCTGAATCAAAAACTTAACGATCTTCACAACCCTATATTGATAATTACCATGTGCTCACTGGTGGCTAGCTTCGTGAGACAATTCTCAGAGTTCTAGTGAGAAGCCGTGACCAGTGGAGTTAATCCATGTCGGGTAGAGACATGTATCTACCTCAGTAAAATGAAAGATGGTCGCGCAATTTTGTGGATTGGTTGAGGTTAGACATTAACACGTTTGGATACCGGCCACTTCAGTGGTCCAGTAGGTTAAGCGTTCGCGCACGAGACTGAAGGCCCTGGGTTCGAATCCCTCGAGGCGGAATCGTGGACGCACATTGCTGGACGAAACGGCCGTCCAGTGCTTTGAGGTTTTCCATGGTGGTCTAACATCAATTGGTTCATGATATGAATCAAAAACTTAATCATCTCCACAACCCTATACTGAAAATAAACTTTTGCGTGATATATGTTATTTAACCCAATTTAACTTATGTCACGGGATAAACATTACTATTTTTGAAACATGTGCTGTAACACAAGTTTTGTTTCACAAAAGCGCGTATCCTGATAGAAAATAGTGGTAACATCTTAAGTGTTACTGGTCAAAATAGAGAGTAAACTGTAATCAATCAGAAGTGAGTTACTCTTTTAAGTGAGTCGTTCAGTTGGACTATTCTGTTTAAATCATTGGCCTTTCAGAAATACGGAGACCGTTATTTACGTTTTGATCTAATTCAGTAACAGTAATATTCTGTTGTTTTATTTTAACAAAACTATGTTATTTCTGTATATCTGATAAATTTATTTAAAATAACGTCAAAAATAAGATTTCGCCTGAATTGAAGGGGTCAAATAAGGACAAGTGGAAAAATAGCTACCTACTGAGACGATGAATGAACTGTTTCAATATCATATGGAAAGAAACAGGAATCAATGAACAGATTATCACCTGATACTATTATAAAGAGTCATCTGAGGAATGAAAAGATGAATAAACTTAATAGAATATTAGTATATAGGGAACGACTTGGGTTGCGTTTGTTCAGAACAGAAGCACGACACTATAAATGAAAATGTTATTTTGAGTCAAGATGTTTTATCTCGATGTATCCATTATCTTTTTGAAAACTAAAGCGGGAACACTTTCATCTTCCTAGTAAACAACATTCAGATATTACTTTCATCCGACCTAAAGTGACATTTTAACCCAGTATTTTTATCGCCGATTGTTTCCCTAGATTCCTATGTTTTGCTCCTTTCCTTTAGTCAAATTATTTACTTAGATCTCGGATTCCTCCACGTAAGCAGCCGGTGTTAACAATTCGAGTTAACAAAGTCGGATTTCCGGTTTCGCAAGGTTGCACCACATATTTGAGTTTCCGACATTCACATTTTGTCAAACCGACCTAAAGGCCTCATTAGTTGAGAAACAGACACTTCCGAGTGAAATCCCAATTGGTATTTATCTGTAGTATCCTCAATTGGATGAGCTTGTAAGATTTTCGAAAGGTCAAGATACGTGTCTTTGTTCTTTGGATTCCAAACTGGCTACAGCTTAAACGTAGAGGTCAGTTTTGTTGAATATTACTCAACCTTATCAGAAAAACCCAGCACTCAAACGTAGTAATTTATGCAGGAAGCTTTAACGCCTAAATATGGCAGTCCAAATCAAGCAAATATTCAAGTGATGATTTGACATTCCATCCCAATGAATAGACCATAATAACTTCCACTGGCACCCCAACCCGACCTAAGGCCTCGTGTCGCTGCTGGGTAGTAAGGGGAGCCTTGCCAACCAACTTAGGCGGTCAACGGAGAACAAACTTATTACACACTCTATTGTATCTTTGATCAACTTGAGGCTCACATAACCGCACTGAGCCATTTGATTTGTATGTTTATATACAAGAATTGCAGAAGTCTTCGGGCTTATGTAGTTCATATATGTAGGTATATTCAAAAGGGATACGTGTGGTGTCGTACGAAGGAAACGCCGGCTGAAATATTGTCTGCCCTATGTCTAATAAAATAAGGAGCCTGTTAATCAGATCAAAGACAAAAAGAGTTAGCAGCAAATGCCAGGAAGAGACGACCAACAACCTCTCATGAGAGAATGTTTATGCTTATGTGTGTCAGGAAGTAATGGGGCGATAGATATGTGCCCAATGATATGCATGTAATGTGTAAGAAACAATCTGGTGTAGCGAATATGTTCTCAAGGGAGTGGCGAACACATATCCTCCCAGGCACGTGAATATACCTATATGTATGCTATGAGATACACGGAATAAAACCTGTGTTACCGGTGTGCATATTTGCTCACAGGATAGGTATACCTGTGTGTATACTCGGATGAAAGTCTGTGCGTTGCTTAGTATGCATGTTGATCACACCTATTCATGGTAAGTAGTCACTAGAAATCCTTTACTTGTTCGTATTACGCTATTCAGAGTTCTTGGATTTCAGATGTTAGGTATAAATTGTGGTCGCGTGACGAAAGTCGAATAATGTTAAGTAGAACTTAGCTACTTATCAAATCCCACTAAGACAAGTAGTCTTTCGCTGAAGCGGGCGCAAATTTCGCCTTCTTTTCGTGGAAGACACTTAGATAAGTAGAGCTGATGAGTTGCAGATAACAAAAGCCTTGATATAAACACTATTTATCGACCGACTGTAGGGTAGATACTGACGACACAAACTGCTATTCCAATGAACCGTATAAAAACAACCATCACGTTATACAAGTTTTATTCACTTCTGAAATACGTACCCTTGGGACAACAATCAGTTGCACTAGCAAGATCGCAAGTCGATTTATATCTGGTTAAGTGGTGGGGATATTAGCCAAGCTCACCGTTTTCCTGTACTGATGTTACATGAACACTAGCACCGAAGTCCTCTAGAATAGTATTGAGATTAGATGACACGGAAACTGACCTTGGAACCACCGGCTATTAATTCTAGCATCTGATAGCGGTGCATACTCCCAGTGTCTGCTAAGTTGAGTACCTTGAGTGGGATACATAGTCGCAGTTACGCTCATTCTTAACCTTCACTTGATTGTTTCATACTACTTTTATATTTCGCACTCATCGGATTATCATTGCAAAAATAAAACACCTTATATTATCTTGATTCACTGCTTTCTTGGTGTCTGTTAGGGCAATGTGAAGTGGTTCTTAAAACACATTGCCAGTACATCCTTTATTTCTATGATTGCTGCCCAAAACCTAAAATTACTGACTACCCATCCACTTGACTATTCAGTACCTCAAGTAGACGAATACATGTACTGCTCAGTGTACAACAGCATGCATGATCTACAACTAGACTCAGTAATACTTGAGCTTTGCATTATTTCCATTATAAGCGCCCACATCTTAGTGAATGGTTAGGCAGCTAAAACGCTTAAACAAATCATTTCATTCCAAGTCATGTTATGCGTCTACAAAGTAGTGTAACTCCCTAACCATAATGCACTTTTTGCAGACTATGTATTTTTCTAATGATCTTGACCTTTCGACAGATTATTTTTTTGCTTTTTAGGACTACTAGACTCGTCGTGCCATTTACCGTAAGTATACCGCCTACAGCACTAATGTATCTAGGAACTGAACTCGGAGAGCTCAAGAAGTACAGTCAAACTCTACGTTATGTTAAAATATCTCCCGGTCCAGCACCCAGACATGATATAATTACATTGCATAGACATGGACATGCATTCGGAGGGTTACCATGGCTTTTTTGGATTAGTTTGGTTTTACTGATCGCTATTTTTCACATGTTTTTCTGTAAAATCATATACAACGAACTGCGAAATAAGAACCAGAAGTTTGAACCTCAGAATTCCTGGAAGTTACCACGATACGCGTCTGATTTGATCTCCTCAACAGGCCTTGAAACTAAAGCCCTTCGAAACACCCAAATATCAAGACGAAGAATAGTTGATTTAGACACTGTCCCATGACTGGGTCATAGTGAATCTAACTATTTTTCATCCAATTCGCTTTCTTTTATAAAAAAAATATTTTTAGAGATAAACATTTATATACATATATGAAACAAAACTGTTTTGAACAAAGCACGGTTATTCATACTGAAAAATATAGTGTTAGAAAGTAATATTACACAACAGATGTTTATGGTCTTCAAATTTATTTCCGAATGAATTACGGTTGGGTGAGCAACTCTTAGGAAGTGCACAACACCGGATGCCATAAGTTATCCAAGCATTACACAAAAATACAACAAATTAAACCAAAAAGAATTCGTAACTTGCTTTGCGAATGATACATGAGAGGGAAAGTTATTAATTTAGAGTACTGTTAAATTAGTGACTGGACACTTTGGTTAGCAATGTACATTTACAACGAGTAGTTTCAAAGTACCAATACATTTCTAGATTTTCTCTGTACATTCCAAAAGATTTCTGTACAATTATTCTACAAAACTAAAGAACAGCTGCTGCCACGCAAGCACTTGGTCATCAAACAAGTCAGTAAAAGCGTTGTTAGGCATTGAAAAGTTTATCACAGATACCGAGAGCGCTAGTAAACATAAAAGACAAACATAACTACGAACAAGTAGGCAGAACAATAACCAGACCGTGTGACAGGTTAATAGACTGAAGAAGTTTGAAATAAAGATTCTTAGTAAAAGCCAGGTTTAGCTGCCCATGAGTACGCCACTAGAAAATGCTCCGACAGCTTTAACCAGTTAGAGCGTACCGGGAGTAAAGGCAAACAAAGCGAAGTTAAAGCGCCATGTGACGGGACTTGTGAAATTAAGGGATGACAAAACAATATTAGAAGGGAAAGCGGCCTGTTTAGGTGAGCTGCCGCAAATGAGCCGTGATTTACATTGAAAGAGTTGAGGCTGAAAGTCAAAAAATCAACAGAGATCTAAATTACAAAATGCAAAGAACAAATGCTAACCAGAGTTGGAATCAGAACATCATCATATACGTAATTTAAAGGACATGTAGGAAGGGCATGATGACAATCTGCTTACGATAGATTTTTAGCTACTTTTGTGACCTCCTGTCGAATCAGCAGGTGATGTGCGACCGGAATGATCGGCACTATGAACATTGTTACGAAGGATTGATGACGCATATGAAACGTTGTGACCTGCAGAAGACACCGAATCATGTTGAGGACTCGAACCGTTCATTTGCATCCAAGTATTAGATACACCGTTAGGACAATAATTTAGACCGTAGACAAGGTTTAGAACCCGTTGGTCAATTTTCCCACCACTATGCTCCTAAACTCAGTTAGTACAAAGTAAAAGCAACATACCTCCAGAAATCTGAAGAACGTTTCACCTGTGAGCATTGCGTCACTTCCAGCTTGGTGCTGTAAGCCGATACGTGGTACTCTCATTAGGTCGGCTAACTCTTGTAATCCACTCTTGGGGAACTTGTGCTCACTCATCATTGACTTTAGATCTACTATCCTGGGAAAGAAAATCAACAACAGCTTTTGAAACTCCAAGAAGTTGTCCGGCATCCTCATCCAATCTGTACAAATCTTCATCAAATAGGCAAAATCGTAGGCACTAAATATGGCTTTAATTTAGCTCCTCGAAACCTACCTGTGGAACCCTATCCACGTTATTTTGTCATTCAGCGGAAGACCACTGGTAAGAAAAGCCTCTGCGAAATCACTAAGTTCAACTCCTGTTCTTTTTAACTTATCGAAGTCTATTCCAGAAACTTCCAATAATTGAATAGAATCGGCCGCATGCATTTCATTGTCAACATTCCACTTGATGTTAAACTGCACAGTTGAGACCGAATCGACCGTCTGACCACTCTCGTCGAAAAAACTAAACCCAATCTGTATTGGTTTAAGCATGTCAATATTAACTTTAATATTGTGGTAGGCTTGTTCAAAACTGTTGGCGTACTCACCAAAAACCTTTGCAACAACACCTGGAAACTCTGTATCTACCGCAACATACTGACATTCTCGTACAAGTCTACGGACAAGGCGCATTCCCTCATGAAAATTGTGGGCCCAAATATCCCAAACGCGAACCTGACTGCTATCCTGTGGAACAGTGAGGGCGGTGACATTGTTAGGATTCGAATGAACATGATGCAGTATTCCATGGTGGACGTGATTATGTGTAGTATGTCCATGACTGTGGTACGCGGATCCAGAGGTGTAACTATCAGTTGTTACTGTCATATTAGATCGGTAGTTATACTTTCCGAAATGAGGATTAACAGGTGACTCGGGAAGTGAAGTATGAAGTATGTGATTTGAATAGCCGTTTTGTGTTATAGATTGGAGTTCGCGAAATGGGTGCATTGAATAACATAAGTGACACATTCAGTTATCCTGCCTGAAAATATACACAAGAAATAAGGATCACACCAATTACGTAAAGCAATAGAATAAGATAGCAAAGATAGGCAAACACATACCAAGACCGCTCATAAGAGTAAGACAATAGTTCTATTCCGCACTTTGACACTTTCGCTTCCCCCCAAAAATACAGAGTAGCTTGATGTAACAAAACGAGTGTTTTAGAAAATTAAGCATTTTACTCGTTGACGTTAGTGTTTATTTATTGAATAATAATTACATAGGCAATTTTTCAGTATAAATCGCAAGACTTCGATACTATTGCCGTTCAATATACAATCTTAATCTTTGCACTTTTTAAAGACAGAATACCCCAACCATTTAAGATGCTGAGACAGTGATGCGTGACTCATAAACATGGTAATTACTACGACGACAACTGGAATGTAGAAAACAAGATGTCAAACTAGTAGTGAACTGTTGCTCTGAATATTCAACAGATGATCCTTGTAAAATGGGTGTAGAAACCTCGGAGTAGGTGATCTGCAGTGGTACTTGAATCCTTTAAAAGTAATGGTTCTGTAATTCTTTGACATTTGATGCTAACTGCGTTAGTTTTAATGGACCCACCCAACTGAAGGCGCTCTGTCATGCTTCCGGACCACATCTACACATCTACAACCGCTTGTCAGCTTAGATTAAAAACTTATCGATATATTGATGCCCCATCGAATATGTCTTCAAACCTCTCAGCACACTCCCTGTTATCTGGATAAACTTGGAGATGGCATTATCAGTAAACTCGTCCGATTACAAACCATTGGAATACATAATATCATAAGTTCTAGTTCAGTTAGATTCAGGCTCTAATGGATGTGATGATCTTAGTTGAATTGAACACATCCAGCCCAGGAAGTGATCACACTGTCCAGCGCCCTAAAGTCTAACACGCGGACATTATGGTCCATCCCAATGCATAGAAGATGATGTGAATGTAACCAACCTTACGGCCTCAATCGGAGACTGAACAATCGACTTGGAAGCATCAGCTGGAGTGTTTTGAAGTCGATTCTAAAGGTTTTTTGTCTCATTTTTCGTATTCTAGACTGTTCCGAAGGAAAGAAAACTTGAATATTCCTGGATACATTGTGAGATTTTCTTGCTTCAACAAAAGTTACTGGAACATTTCCGATATTCTTGGAACAGAAGAGACAGTTAATCCTTGCACGTCAATTCAAAATAAATGAATCTTGACAATCTGTACACCACAGAGAAAATCAAGCAACCGATGCAATTATTCTCAAACATCATTTACAGAACGACAGCATGTTTACAAAGTCTCAATTCAATTAGTCGGCGGAGTGAGTCATAGATGGGAGAGAAACCAAGGCTAAACGAAAGCTATGGCATGTTACTTCATGATGACGTTTGCTCATGAGCTTTTTCATAACACAAGATTGGCCTCAGAATCGATATCATCTAAACGCCCCCCTTCTGACTTCAACCAGGATGATGGATTAAAGTCACTAAGACCTCCAAATAGTGAAAGAAACGGGAAAGGATGGGCCACATCCTTAGACTATTGATACAACATGTGATATATCTCTGTCCCTCGCACTGTAACGTTCAAAATGCCTGTCAGCCAATATGACGCCAGTAAGCTAGGAGGATGTGGCTGCCGCTCTAGTTTCCAAGAAAGGATCATGGTAACTATCAGGGTACAGACTATTAACATCACCGTTGTCGTAGTTTTAGCATTAAAAAGAATTGTAACAGCTTAATTTGACTGGTTAAGAGTTGACCTCAAACAACTAAGTCAAATGTCGAAACAATAGAGTTCAAGTATTCATGCACTTCCCTATTTTGTATAGACATTATATTTCCTATTATCTTATATTGAATGTTGAAAAGCTTTGTTTGTCTGAACAGGCAATCCCACGCTCCACTGTGACTGGGCAAAAATATAGATAAAGGCCTATTCACTACTAGTCCGATTTCTTATGTCAAAAAACAAGGGTTACCGATAGGCACGAAAGAATCGCCAAGGAGTTCGATATAACCTTCCTTTTAATCAGTAAGATGGCTGTCGGTAAGCAGTACGGTTCAGTAAAAACATGTCGTGCGTAGTGATCTACCTGACAGCAAGATAGCGATTTATTGGGTCGTTCAATGACTAAAAATCGATGGATATTGTCTACGTTTACTTCGGCGAAGCCTTTGATAACGTGATGTATTATAGGCTCCTACTAAAACTAAAAAATTAGGGGTTTCTGAGTCCTTGTCAAAGTGAACCAAACGCCGTTTTGTCTGTTGACAGATGGTAATAATAAATTTTGAATGTTCACCCTGGAATCTAGTTTACAGTTGAGTACAGTATAGCTCTGTCCTTTGTTTAGACTTTATGTGAATTGGCTACGCTATGTCGTTAGGCCTGTGATGCTACTTTGCTCTCGTGACGTCAATGTCTGGAGAGAAGTATCAAGGGATGATGATCTGTATGTCTTTCAGGCCAACGTGAACATTCTGGCGAGTCGGTTTCGATTGTGATCTGTGCTCATTATTAAGATAGGGTATGTCCACAAGCATAGGTGATAGGAAAATGTTAGTAACTCCAGCGCAGTTGATGAGTCAGACCCTGTGGTCTTGCACTACAATAATCTAGGTTTAGTAATGGCTCATGGTTTCAAGACCAGAGAC